CTCAGAAATACGCATCTTCATGGATATGAGGTGGGGATGAGCTGTCCCCATTGCATCAGGTAGAATCATGGTCTGAGCTTTGCAGTGTAATGGGGAGAGCAGAGGCGGCCAGACTTTCAGAAAGAAGTGTGTGACTGCTCCTCTGGCACTATGGGGTGGGTAAAGCAGGAATTTTGAGCAGCCCCCAGGCCTTTGGTACATCTCTATCGTCTCTGTGGCCTCTCTGCACCAAGGCTGAAAACACTGAGACCAAAGCTTTGCTGAGGCCTGAGTGTCACTAGCTGAGACGTTACCCCCAAGATCTTGCATATCTGCTGCCACTTGAATACTGTGTTAAATGAAGGCCACCTGATGATGAAAATAGATGGAAAAACACTAAACTGTATTTACTAAGGGCCTTGGGCAAGGTCCAAAACATTACCTGAGCTACTCAAGGTTATGTAGAGATGGGGTTTAGAGACGTCTGAAAAAGTGATGTGGGGAAAATCTCCTATCTCATGCCACTCACTATGCCCCTGTTCTCTTGCTAATCCTCTCCTATTTATGTCCATTTTCTTCTGACACATGGAAGTATGATACCGAGTGTATGAATTTCCGGTTCACAGCTCAGGGCCTAGAATATGATTCTCAGAAAGTATCTGTTGATTAATTTAGTAAACTGTTTACAAATTGGCAACAGTTTATCTTACTTGATGAATTCCTTCCTCCTGAGTCTTTATGTCTTAGTACTCAGGAAAACCAGCGTGGGAAAGAACAGAGAAGGAGACAGCCTTAAATTTTGCCTAGAAATGAATTTTAGGGTTGGTCTGCTGGGTATAACCTCAAACTAATTTGCAGATTCTAGTATCACAGGCTGTACTTGGGAGGGGAGCTAAGAGAGAGAGGCCGAGTGAGACACAGGGCTCTAGCCTAAACTCCACTGAGTTTACACAAAAATGCCTGCAGTGTAGCCCAGCTCTGGAGTGACCACTGATGCCTCTAATGCAGTCATGGGAAGGGAAATGCAGTGCTGCTTCCACCAAGGTCTCTAACTGGGCCCTTGCCATTGGGAAGGAACGAAGAGCTCAATATTGGAAAAGACTGATCATTACATTTTCTTAATTATATTGATGTGAACTTCACAGCCAAGTTCTTTTTAGGAAGTTGATGCTGAAAAATAGTTAAGCGCTCCTGAGCTTATGAGGAATAGGATTTGGATGTTTTTAACTTCTGGAAATAATCAAATACCTTTCCTGTGGGCAATTCCTGCACATCTCTAGGGATTTCTTTCCCTCATAGTTTTTTGATGCTTTGCCTGTTATCCTAAAACTTGGCCAAGGTGCCAAGGGATCTCTGAACTTTAGTGCTAGCCTCAGACCAACAGGTAATTCAGTAATGATAACACAGGGTTGGATACCTCCACTGTTATTTGTTACAGGTCAAGTTCCTAGAGGTCAACAGAAGAATAGGATTTAGCAGGCAGAATGTTTATTAAGAGGTGCTCTTGGAGCTGGGCATAATGGTGCACACCTGTAATCCCAGAACTTGGAAGGCTGAGGCAGTAGGTTGCTGTGAGTTGGAGGCCAGCCTGAACCACACAGAAGCGCTCTTGGCATCAATATCCTCAGAAGGGAGGGGTAAGAGGCTGTAGTGGGCAGAGAGAGAAGCTGGGCTGTTGTGTAGCTCTGGAGCTAGGATGGCCCTTCAGAATTGTTCAAGTTAAGCCCAGATAACCAGGCCTTCTACACATTTTCCTTGAATAGTCACATTCATAAATCATTGCCAACAGCACTCCCAGGGGGAATCTGGGTAAAAGAGCAGAATCCATCACATTATGTTGAAACCCAGAACCATAACTACCATTTCTTAAGGGCCAGAGTATTCTGTGCAATGTAGAAAGTATTCTGTAAGAATTATCTCTGATTCTAACAGCTGTACAAGGAGGGCCGGGGATTTAGCTCAGGAGCTTAAGTGCCTGCCTGGCAAGCACAAGGTCATGAGTTTGATCCCTGGTACCAAAAAACAAAACAAAAAAATCCCCAGCTGTACAAGAAAAGTTTCTGTTACACTCATTTCATAGAGGAAACTAAGGTGTAGTGAAGTTAAGTGATGTGCCTCAGTCTACATAATCCATGTATGGAACTCAAATCCAGGCCTGCTTTGTTCCACAGCACGCCTTTCCAGCTGCTAAATATGGTACCCTTTCTTCAGTTTTCTCATATGCCCTGCAGAAGCAACTTACAACTCCAACCTTCTATGCAGCTTTTTAATAATCCTCTAATTCTCCAAATGTATCGTCTTACACACTTACAGCTCATTGCTGGAATGTACTCAGTGCATTCTTCAGATCTCATAGAGCTGGGCACTGTTATCCTGCTTTAACTGGGAGAACATTCCTGTTAGAAACAGTACAGATGCTAGGTTTCTTCAGAAGGACACCCAAAGGGGAAGTCTTCAATACCTAACAGGAAATCAGTAATTTAGTTAACAATATTTGAAAGTTATGAAGAAATGAGCAGCACTTGAAGCCCATTTCTTACTTTTTTCTTTTAGACTTAAAAAAAACTAGGACATTTTGAATTCTAGAGATTAGATGTTGGGTGGTAACCCATCCCAAATTCTTTGGACTGGACAGCTGATGAGGAAGGTGTAACATGAGGCTCTATGTACCCTTTCTATATTCCTCAAAGCCTGCAAAGAATCTTATTTTTCCTTTGCATAATCCAGATCTCCTTAGTCTGCAGCATGATACATATGGACCAGACTAGTCCTAGTTCAAGACTAGAAAGAAAACCTGGGGGCTGGGGATTTAGCTCAGCAGCATAAGCACCTGCCTTGCAAGCAGGCAGTCATGAGTTCGATCCCTGGTACCGATAAAAAGGAAAAAGACAAAAAAAAAAAAAAAAAAAAAAAAAGAAAGAAAACCTGTTACTCCAACAAAAAGATGCATCACTGGCAAGTTGCTGTGTGGGTTTTTCTTCCCAGGCAGAGTATCCTGTGTATTGTTCTCTGGGGTGCTCTATCTAATCTGTGAAAGATGCTTACCTAAAGCATGGGGCACCAGACTCTATTTGAAGCACAGTCAATGGAATGGGTTGTGGAGCAGCATCCTTAGTATATTCAAATCAGCCCTACACTACAAATAAGAATTCCCTTAAGGTTCTATCGCACCATTCTTCCAGCCCAGGGACACTCTAGAGATGAGAAATGATGGTGTGATTCTTCAATTTTCTATTAACTACAGGGTGAACCTTATTTGGGTTTGGGGGTAGAAGAGAATATTTCTTAAATTACAATACGATGGATTTTGTCATAATAGGTGTATGGGGTACAGGGATAGCATATTGGGAATAAGACTAGCAGAAATATGGAGTAGGTGATTTACACATTGAGTCTTGAGAGATGCACAGAAGCTGCTGGCCCAGTAACGGATGCACAGTGGTGGGAACAGTATGAACAGGGCAGAGGATGTTCTAGGAATGTCGCTGACTGACTGGAGGGCTGTGCAGGAAATCAACATGGGGCGTCAAGCAAGGGCCAGATGGTGAAGGGCCAGGTGTGCCATGGGGACTTTATATTGTAGTTGACCATAAGGGGTGGGAAGATTTTAAATATGAAAGACGCTGGAATAGATTTCATGTTGGGGGAGGGGGACCAAAAGAGAGTAAGAGTGGAGGCTGAGAGATCAGTGAAGAAATCATTGTAACCATCTAGGTGAGTGGGAGCAATGGAATAATGACAATAGGATAAAAATGTGATGGATAAAGAAATATTTAGGTGGTGGAATAAACAGTATTTAAGTGACCAGCAAAGAAGAGATTGAAGGAAAATTAAGAATGAAGGACAATTCCACAATTTTGGTTCAGCAAGAAGACTGAGAAAACAGAAAAGCTATCTTTATACTGAATGCTATCATAGCCTTGGTGAATGGGTCATTAATTGCTTTAAAGGCTCTGAGCACTGGATTAGTTAATTATTTTGGTTTTTTGGAGCCAGGGTCTCATTTTGTAGTGCAGGCTTGCCTTAAGCTCACTATGTAGCTCAGACTAGCCTCAAACTTATGGTGATTCTTTTGCCTTGGTCTCCCAAATTCTGGGATTACAGGTGTGTGTTGTTACACCTGGATAATTATGATTTCTTAGGTCATTCATTACATTGATTTACTTTTACAGTGTACTTTTTGGCAAATGCATCATTTAAAAAATGTTTGCTAGAATCCATTTCCTTTTTGTAGGAACCAATACTGAGAAAACAGAAAAGCTACCTTTATATTGTCTTACTTTTCTTATTGCTGAGACAAAATACCTGACACCAAAAGTTAAAAGAGAAAAGGTTTATTTGGCTCACAATTTGTTGAGGTTTCAGTTCGTGGTTGGCTGGCTTCAAGCTGGGGCGGTGTGGCAGACAGATATCACAGAGGAGAACAGTTCATGGCAGGCAGAAGGCGGCAAAGCAGTGAAATACAAACGATGAGCAATGACCCTTGTTCTGTCTCTTATATCCTACCCGGGCTCCCTGCTCTGAGGGCAAGTGACACTTACCCTGAGGGTGGGGTAGCCTTAATCCTAGATTGCACCACGAATCAATCCCAGCACCACATCATTCATCCCAGCATCGGATACCACAGATCTGTCAAGTTCCAAAAACCCCATTTATGAACATACAAGGCTTTGGAGGAACATACAGATATAAGCCATAACACAAACCAAAGTATAGAAATCATTTTTGTGTAAATAGAAACTTACACATTTATTTAAAGCTAGTTTTAGAGATTTTCCTATGAGTTTCCATAGCATTCTGGGAATCTCCTCTTGATATGTTATATCTACCTTTTGATACACAGTGATTATCTATTAATTCACCATGGGTGGTAGAGGGAGACCAGGATATGGTTTTACTCCAGGTATGCTCAATATATTACTTAAAATACAGTGGCCAGTCAATATATGAACTCTGACTGAATAAAAATAAAGGTAATAAATCATGCTTAACAAATATGATTCTCAATGGTTTTTTCCTAGAATGCTCAGTAGAAGTGACATTAATTCTGCACAGAAAACTACGGAGATGCTCCTATGGACTCAACTGAATTTCAACAATAACTTCGAGTTTTGCGTATTGGTGAGTTTAAGGCCAGCCTGTTTTTTTGTTTTGTTTTGTTTTATACCGGCAATCGAACTCCAGAACCTTTCGCTTGCCAGGCAGGTGCTTATGCAGCTGAGCTATACCCCCAGCCCAGCCCAGCCTGAACTGCATAGCAAGACCCTGTCTCAAAAAGACAAAAAAAAAAAAAATTTTTTTTTGAGACGGGGTCTTGCTATGTAGCCCAGGCTGGCCTCAAATTCACAGCGATCATCCTGCCTCAGCCTCCCAAGTGCACTACACCCAGTTTTCTTCTAAGATTTTTATTCCAAAAAAATTATTAAGGCAATTACTGGTGCTCATATTTACTGTCAAATTAACCATGGCAGCTGTTAAGTGTTTCTACTTTTAAGCTGAATTCTAAAAGCTTCATTTACATTTTCATTACCTGATACTGTTAGAAAAATCCAGGCTGCAGATATAGAGATGGAGGTTGATAGAAAGTGGATATTTCATCTCTGGTTCTTTCGAGTTGACTAAATATTTTACATTAATTACCTCTGGTTTACGGTTGGGAATGTGTTCTACGTTTTTTATAAATTATGGCCACTAGGAATTCACAACTTAAGAATGTGTGAAGGTCAAGAATGTGAAATTTCAACTAATAATTAAAATGGTAGCATCTGCCCCTCTGTCTGCTAGAGCTGAGATGCAGAGAGCTACTGCTGAGATGCAGGGATTTCCAGCTGCAGCAATGCTGAAACACGCGAGTTTCAACAACTTGCTTTTCAATCTATGGAGCTTTGAAAATCTAAATTTAGCTTTGTGTAATGGTATGGCTTTGCTTTAGAAAACATTTGTCTAGGACTTTATAACCCTCTTCCTCTTGCAAATGCATTTAACCTTACTCATTTGGAATAATGTGAGGGAGGAAGAGCTAAGGAGAAGACCAAACTTACACAGTGCTGTCTTAATTTTAGATGTTTATAGTGACATGAAGTATTTGATACTTTCAATGACAATGCTATGGTTTACATCTAGATATCTTCTCAATGCCTTTGTGCTCAAAGGTGGGGCTTTTGCAAGGTCGGATTATGGGGGCGGGGGTGATAGTCAGCTTGCTGTTAGGAGGTGAGATCTGGTTGGAAGACGTGAGTCACTGGGGCTTAGCCTAGAAGGGTTTAATCTCCCTCCCTGACTTCTCCCCTGGCTCTCTTGTCTTTCAGGATATCATGAGGTGAACTTTCTTCTCTGCTCCTCAACCATGCTCTCCTGCCTTGAAAGCCAGAGGACTATGGACTGAAACCTCTACAAAGTATAAGCCAAAATAAACCTCTTCCCTTTAATTTGCCAGTGTTGGGTATTGTGTCTTGATGATAAGAAAGTAAGTCAGACAACATATATAAATGTCAAGTCACGCAAGTAGGTATAAATAACAACACACAATATACTTTGTGAGTAATGGTGTTTCATAAGAGAATATTAGTACCAAGGATTAAATAGGCCTTGAATTTTAAGAGCATGAATATTTCACAGCACCTTTAATTCACTGATATACTATATGGATTGGTAGCCTCCCAAATCCATGTCCCCTGGGAACCTCAGAATATGTGCTTATTTGGAAATGAGGTCTCTACAGATATCATTAGTTAGGATGATTACTGGATTACACTGGGCCCTAAATCCATTGATTCGTGTCCTTATGAAGGGCCATGTTGAGACAAACAGAGAAAGATCACAGCAATACGAAGACAAAAACAGAGACTGCAGTCATAAGCTAAGGAATGCCAAGGGCCACTGACACCCACCAGAAGCCACCAGGAGCCAGGGAGAGAGAGGCAAGGAAGAATCTCTCCCTGGAGCCCAGAGGAAGAACAGTTCTGCTGACATCTCAAATGCCCAGCCTCTAGAACTGTGAGAGAATATATTTTCTTGTTTTGAGCCATTTAGTCTTTGATTACTTTTTACATAAGCCCTAGAAAACAAATATATCCTCTCTTCAGGGAAAGAGTCCTGCTTTGATCATGAAATCTCCACTTACCAAATATGTCCACCGGTTTCTCTTTCTACTCACAAATACAGACTTTTTATATTACACTTGGGGCTCCCCATAATTAATCATGCCCTTATTTTTTCAGTGTCATTTACCATTGGTTACTTCCCTTCCTGCTCCCAAGGGGACACATACTCATTACTTTAGTCAAATCTGACTTTTTAATATTCTCCAAATAATCTATTTCCCCTCTTGTCTTTGGCCTGGATGTTTCCTCTGCTTCCAATATTTTCTTCTGTCTTTACTCATCATAGTTATAGCCAGCCTTCAACAAATGGTACTGATCCAGTGACACAGTCTTTTATTTCAGAGCAGAGTATATATAGAGATCATTTTGCCACTCAGTGTGGCCTTGTGTTAATGGTTTCATACATGTATGGGTTAGTCTTCCAGTGATATTTAAATTCCTCACCACACAGCTTGCATCTAGAAGGCATTCAATAAACTAGTCTGAAATGATGCTATCACACCCACAGATGGGAACTCTGGAGGGTTACTGGTGGACAAAGTCCTAAGTACTTTTGAAAATAATATTTTCCAAATTAATTAATCATTTTTATAATGAAGTGTTATCTGGAAAAATATAAACATTATTTCCAAGTCTCAGTTCTTTTATGCTTAGCTGGGTGTCTGTTTTAAATACAGATATTTAAAGGGTCAGTTGGAGATTTGGGCAAAATTTATGCTGGAATTTGGGGCTGTCTGCTTCTCTCATTTCTAGAGCCTTCCTTGTCGCTTTTCAGCTGCTGTGGTTATTCTAAATTCTAGCTTCTGTGGTTCTGACAGAAGCTAGATTTCTGTAAGTTTTAACTGTCTGTATGATAGCCCTAGGACATACCCTCAAGCTGAAAGTCAGAAATGACTGGGATGCTCAGTTGGTGTGACTTCTTTCTTCCAGAAGTAGACCCTACTTCAATTTCTGCTTTTTATCACACCTCAGTGGTGTTCTGAGGGTGCTTTTTAGATTGTGCCCAGCATTTTTAGTTATTGTGGAAGAGCTGGTTCAACAGGAAGTAGTGTATATAGAAGGAAGCATGCATTCTTTAAAAGTTTCTTAAAAATTAGGGTGTCATTTTAAAAATTAAAAAAAATTTTTTTGACTATACAGAGTTAGAAAGTATTAAACCCAAAGCCAACGTCATAGTCAACTGTAAGTAGTGGGAGACTGATTTAACGTGCTGAGAAAGCCTCAATTACTTTTACCTTTTACATTAGAATATTATTATGAATGGTAGTGGGTGCTAGGTACCTAATGTTATACCAAGTCTTGTGCAACATTTAGACATCCCACTGGAGGCTGCCATCTCTGCATTGCTGAAACATGACACACCTCTGGGGTGATTTCTTAGGATGTGGACATAGGTAAACTCTGTAGACAGGAAGCAAACCTTCCTGCCACATCCTTAGATCTTTCCCAAAGTCGTACTTCTGCCACCTGCTATCTTCCTCTTCCAGTCCCGTCCAGCCTTTCTGCTCTCCTGCGTTTTAAAGACGGTTCCATATATGTAGCTGTATCCATCTCTGCTCATCACAAGGACTAGCTGATTCACTGACTAGCCCTGCTATAGTTTCTCCTTCCTCATAGTGCTCTGGACCACGTGTCTGAGTGCATTTGACTAAAATAACACAGGAAGGGAAGGAGTATGTCTCAGGATGGCAAAGTCTGAGTTCTACGTGCCAAACACTCGATTTACAGACATATTTTTAATGCTCTCCCTTTTTAATGTGAAGCAGCTCAGGATCAGAGTCCTTGTTCATTCTCTTTCCACTCAACAAACAGCCTCTGGGCTATCAATGAAAGTTGCATTATGAAACATGAGAACTATGTCTGAGAGTCCTGAGGGCAAGGGCTGGGTTGTGTCTGGGAGGGAAGTTCTGGGGGTGGGTGGGAATGGGTTTAAAGGCAGAATTCTGACAGCTGGAGCAGGTAGACTTGGACTCCATCTCATTCCTCTTCTCTCTGTAAGGTGGTCTCACTGCCGCCTCTCTGTTGTTAAACACTCCAAGCTTATTTTTAAAGACAGACACAATCTCGATGATTTGGTTAATTTATTTAATAAAGTTATTTATAGCAGATACTTTGGAAGTCTTGTAGGCCACTTTAGTTAACTGGGTAACACTGTTCAAATAATAAACTACTTCTCTCGGTTTACACAAAAGCTTAAAAAGGTACAAGATTTTCGATCCCCAAATATCTTATTTTCGGTGAACTGGTCTAAAAGGAACTACTTTTAACGTTATCACTTGAATAGAATTTAGTAAACACTGGTATTAAAATAACTTCTATTTTGTTGAATGAAAGCCTTTAAAATCTAGATTTTCTGGCATGTTTTGAATGGGTCACTTTTAGCCAGCCATTATACAGGGGCGGTGCTGGCTGTTTACCTTGGGTGTGAGAATAATTGTGGAGAATATTAGGAAACGTACTTTTGGTAGAATACAAAGAGCTGCATAAAAAAATTTCCATTTATACTAGGTCTTAAACGTCACATGCTTAGAAACTTAATTTCATGCTAACAATCTTAACTTAGGAAAAAATTGACAGTAAAATAGTGTATATTATTTTGGTGTGGTTTTAGAAAAAGCAATTTACAAAAGAAAATCCACTTGAAATTCTAAATTTGGTTTTTAAATGATGGTTTTTTATGATTCCTTGTTTTACAGAAATTTCAAGGAATAGGAAGACACAAGAAACAGAAGCACGGGCAAAGAAGATGGGAGAGGGGGAAGGCAGCAGGGACATGGGTAATTTGCACCATGGGCAGCAGGGGTAGCAGTCAGAAAAGCAAAGGAGAAATGTGACGCGGGAAGAAGGCACAGCTGCACATTAGGGCAGACCGACAGCACAACGTCCTGGGAAAGCTTCGAGCTTCATAAACTCAGTTTCACTTAGCACTGAGGCAGGGACGGCCGAGACACATACAAACTGACGACAGCTCAAACCCGGTACTACATTCACATTCCTCTGGTACTTTAGTTTTCTCCTTGATGTTAGCAAAAACTGACAAGTGGCCTGATGACAGGGCCACCCTTGGGTGGAGACGTGGTATTTTGCATCCTATGAGAATAAAGATTTTGAAAGTCAGTATTGATGATCTTCTGAGTTTCCACAGCATCTGTGGTGGTTTCATCCTTGTCATTCCTTATTGCATGCATTTGAGTGTTTTCTTTCCTTTTATGATAAAGTTGGCTAGCAGTATATTAATTTTATTTATTCTTTCAAAGAACCAACTCATTCTTTGTATTGTTTCTTAGTCTCAATTGCATTAATTTCTGTTCTGATCTTTATAATTTGCTCCCTTCTTTGGGCTTGACTTGCTCTTCTTTTTCCAGTAGCTGTGCTGATTCCATTTTCCTGATGTGAGAATTCACCACTATAAGTTTCTCTCTGAGGACTGCTTTCATTGTGTTCCACAGGTTCCTGTAAGTTGTAGTTGCACTTTTGTTGGATTTTAGACATTGTTTGTTTCCCAGGACACCTGAAGGCTTTTTTTTTTTTTGTACCAGTGATCAAACTCAGGATTTTGTGCTTGCCAGGCAGGCACTTTGCTGCTGAGCTAAATCCCAATGAATTGTAGATATTGCTTAATTTCTTCTTTAATCTGTTACCCTTTTTTCAGGAAGGTGTTATTTCATTTCCATGCGTTTATAGAGTTTTGCATTTTATTTTGTCATTAATTTCCAATTTTATTGTACTACGGTCACATAATATGTTTGGGAGAATTTGAATTCCTTTACATTTACTTAAGCATGTTCTATGAGCTAGCAGATGGTCTATTTTAGAGAATGTCCTCTGTGCAGCTGAGAAGAATGTGTAGATATATTTCAGTTATGCGTGGTTGGAGTTCTATATGCCTCACTTATCTGTATGTCAGATTCTTTTCCCATGATTGGGAAATTTTCTGCTATAGCTTCTGTAAATAGTCTTTTATGCCATTTGTATTGACTCCTGCTTTTTATTGTTGCCTATCAATCTTATATTGTTTTTCTCTGTATCATCTTGCAGTTGTTGAATTGTTATTTCCTTGTTATTTTTAAGATACCTTTTCTTTCTCGATCACAAACTATGGTCCTGTCTTCAAGGTTTGAAAGTCTATCTTCAATTTTGGTCAAGCAGTTTTGTCAGGTTTCAATGGAATTTTTAATTTCCTGGATACCTCTCTGAATCTGTTTCATTCTTTCTCTTTCCTATATTGTTTATTCAAGGTTTCCATCATTTTCCTATAGTTCTCTATTTTTTTTCTAATCTGTGTCTTCTTTAGAGATGCTCAGCAATTCTTTCATTATGGTTGTCATTACTTATTGCTAATTGTAATTAGCAATAATGGTAGCATCAAGCACAATTTAGAAATTGACAAACTGTGGTAACTATTGATTTTGTGCT